TGTCTCTATTTATGGATTCACTCGGTAATCCTCTTGGATTATGGCCCCACCCTGTGAGCTCATTTAATATTAATTACATCCTTTAAGGCACCAGTCCTAAGTTAGCTATGCTGGGATTAGTGAATCCATGAATTCTGAGGGGACACAAAGCATTCAGTCTACAGCTCTTGGGCAAGACAGTCTCGTGAATGGTTTTTCAACCCCCTTGTGGCATTTAAGAATGGACTCTTGGGCATGATGGAGAAATGGCTTGGTGATTAAGAGCACTGGCTGCTCTTCTAGAGGACCCAGGTTCATTTCCTAGTACCTTCATGGAGGCTAACAACTGTCTGTAACTGCAGTTCCTGGAGAGCCTACCCCCTTCTGACCTCCATGAGCACCAGCCACGCACATGGTGCAGAGATGTACATACAGACAAGACACATACACATAAAATCAAAAAAATACAGCTGGGTGTAGTGGTGAGTGCCTTTAATCTCCTTTAATCTCAGGAGGCAGAGGCAGTTGGATCTCTGTGACTATAAGTCAGTCTGGTCTACAGAATGAGTTCCAGAATCACCAGGGTTACACAGAGAAACCCTGTCATGGAAAACTAATAAATAAATAAACAAATTAATTAATAGATTTAATTAAATTAAAAAAATAGACGCTGGGCCTGGAATATAAAAACTGTGATGTGGTTATCACTTTGGGCCAGACTGTATCTTTTGAAAGCCCAGACTTGGCTTCTTTATTCTGCGTATACATGTGTGTCCTATGGCACTAGGGTGAATCTAACATGTGTCTTCCACAAAGTGGGTACAGAGCAGTTTTGTGACAGCAGGATAAGAGCAATGCACATAGCCAGTTGTCCTGAAGTTGCTGCTGTGGTGGGGCCTGCTGGGCAGCAGGGACTACTACATGCTCCTAAAGTTGAAGTTGCTCCCTTTTCTGTGTAGCTGAAATATGGTTTCATCTAGTATTCAGCCATGTTGTCTTGCCCATCAAGACTCTGATATCAAGAACAAAGGACAGAAGTGTTTAGTGCCCTCTTCTTGTACTGGCAACCAGCATATAATATTCTGCTTAATAGTAACAAACACTCCAATTTGGGCATGTTGGCATAGTCCTGTAACCCTAGCCAGGATAGGGACAGGAGGATGAGGAGTTCAAGGCCATCCTTGTGTACCTAGCATGTTAGAAGCCAGCCTGGGATACAAGAGAATCTGTTTCAAAAATATATAAAGTATATAAGTATATAAAAATTTAATAGTAACACACACACAGACACACGTATGTATGTATGTATGTATGTATGTATGTATGTATGTATATGGAGACAGGTTCTTGCTATTCAGTTTAAGCTGGCCTTCAATTTACTGCAATCCTCCTGCTTCAGATCCTAAATACTGAGACTAAAGGAGTGGACTATTGTGCTCAGTCACTCCCATCACTCTCCAGTCCACTGTTCACTTTTGACTTCATTGAATTACGTAAAGAATTTCCATGAGATCTAGTGTTTCACTCTCTTGGTGCCTAAAATTAAAAGTAAAACTTGTGTTTAAAAAAAAATAGTCTAAGTAACCAGGTGGTGGTGGTGCATGCCTTTAATCCCAGTACTTGGGAGGCAGAGGCAGGTGGATTTCTGAGTTCAAGGCCAGCCTGGTCTACAGAGTGAGTTCCAAGACAGCCAGGGGCTACACAGAGAAACCCTGTCTCTAAAAACCAAAAAAAAAAAAAAAAAAAAAAAAAAAAAGAAAGAAAGAAAGAAAGAAAGAAAGGAAGAAAGAAAGAAAGAAAAGAAAAAATAGTCTAATGAGTTTGGGTTGCAGATCTAATCAAGAACAGACAATGATGACTTCTACCAATGTCACTGCTTTATTCAAGGATGAGACCTCACAGGTACCAGGTTCAGGATTGCACTTTACCTTCCTACAGCTCGTGTAAGCCTTTTGGAGTCCTAGAGTCGTGGGAAAGTTGTTCTTCCACTACATGGTCACCTTGAACCCATCTGGTCCTGTACTGTTACTTAGATCCATGTTTGCTAAAAACAAAATACATAAAAACCTGGCTTTAAATTTTTAAAAATCATTTTATTAGTACTAATGATTTGCCTACATATGTGTGTACTACAATCGTGCCTGATGTCTACACAAGCCAAGTGTTGAATCCCTTGGAACTTGAGTTACAGACAGTTGTAAGTCATGTAGGCTCTGGGAGTAAACACAGGTCTTCTGGAAGAGCAGCCAAGCTCTTAACAGCTCTTAACTGCTGAGCCATCTCTCCAGTTCCCTAAAACCAACCCTTGTCCCCACGGCAAGAACAGATCTTTTTAAATTTTGACTTTTTACTCCAGGCTTCTACCACCTAGATACTAAGCTTACATTCCTCTCTGTCTTGTAAACTCTTTGATGGGATGTGTTTTTAACTATTTCAACCAGCATTTCTAGATGTTTTCAGCAGAAGGTTAGGTTAAACAATCTGCATGCTTTCTTCAATTGCTTTTTTATTTCTTTAAACTTTCAAGGTTTTATTAATTTGCTCATTTTAGCACATTCGTATTGAATGTCCACTTTCTGTTGTGCTACAAACTGGGAAACAATGGGGAGTGTGGTGGTCAACTGTGTCCACTTGATTGGGCACCGTTGTCCAGGTATGTGGGGTCTTAGTTGGGGTTTTATTGCTGTGAAGAGACACCATGGCCAAGGCAACTCATATAAAAACAAACATTTAGTTGGGGCTGGCGAACAGTTTCAGAGGTTTAGTCCTTTATCATGATAGTGGGAAGCATGGTAGCATGCAGGCAGACATGGTGTTGGAGAAGCTGAGAGTACTACATCTTGATCCAAAGGCTGCCAGGAGTCTGGAATTCCACACTGGGTGGGGCTTGAGCATAGAAATCTCACCCACAGTGATACACCTCCTCCAACAAGGCCACATTTCCTAATAATGGCATTACCCAAGCATTCAAACACATGAGTCTATGGGGGCCAAACCTATTCAAACCACTACATTTGGTTAAGCATTTTTCTGTTGGGGGCTGTTGTCTATCATTCCAGGACTTGGTAGGCTAAGGCAGGATTTCCCTGATTCTCAGGCCAGCCTGGGCTGTATAGTGAAACCCTATGTCAATATTAATCTTCCCTATTCCACACAAGTCCATAACCAAAACAAAAAGAAGTATGTATGTTTGCATCCTGCTAACATTTAAGTCCATGGGTCTGGAATAGGCACATTTCCTTCCACAATGTAAGCCAACTAGAGGTCTTAACGGAACAAATCAACCTTCCACAAGAAGAAATTCTGTGGAAGGAGGACCGTGATTCAGACAACATCTCTTTATCTCCAGCCTGCCAGAAGATCCTACTGATTTCAGATTTGCAGTTTCTTAAGTCTCTTTCTTTATATCTATACATGAATCCTGCTGTTTTTTTCCTTCTGAGAAAGAAAGATTTTTTAACTAGCCTTGGAGGAACTGAAGTCTAGCTGAGACACAAGCTAATCTGACAATCACATACAGTACAAAACTCCTGTATTGGAGGCGGCATGCCCCGGGACTTACACACTTAAACAGTCTGAGTCCTGCACTGCAGATCATTGTCACAAACCTGGACAAACTGAGAGGACAGCAGAGCTGAGTGCTAGCAGGTGAGCATCGAGGGTATAAGTTATAGCTTTGCTCCTGCAGGGGAAGGTTTCCCCAGTGAAAATGCTATAGCTCTGCTCTATTGGGGGAAAGTTTCCTCCATACAAGTATTACAGCTTTGCTCCACAAAGTCATACTGCACAACAAACCTCATACAAGATATTTACTGGGAGGGAAAAACCAGGAGGGCGGCTGCCTCTGCCTGGGTTAGAAGCAGCAGGGAGCTGAACAGAACACAGGCTTTATATGGGGTTTCTCGAGGTGGGGGTGGGGAGCTTTCCAGAGTGGCCTAGGGATTGGTGAAATTTTTGTGGCCTAATCTTGGGGCAAGTTTAGAGATTGGTGTGATTTCATGTTCAGTATTGGTGTTTCTGTTTCTTGGCCCTGGTCTTGGACTTGGAATCAAGTCAGGGTCAAGGTGCTTTTCCCTTTGGTGCTGGTCCTTTTACCCTGCGTTTAGGACAAGGGAGGGTTTGAGAGGGTCTTTATAACCACTACAGCTAGCAGAGTAAGGATAGGCAGCTAGAGGCAAGAAGGCAGTTCTGTTCAATAAGACTAGGTAACTGGTGTCGATTCAAAGTTCAAGTCTGGCTCTGTGTAGTTTATTTAGGCATATTTTAGTCACAGCCCAATATAGTGAAAAATTTTCTGGTGATTAACTCAATCTTGTGTGCACAATAAAACTTAAGGTGTGAGTACATTGAAACTCTTTGTAATGTACACGTGACATTGTGAAAGCCAAAGTTATGTTTTAAGTTTTAATTACTACGCTTAAGAGATCCATGAAACAAAAATGCATCTGACCTGTAAGCCCCTTGCCCAAGAACAGCTACTTCTTGAAATACTAGAGGCTATTGTTTATGGGGGGATAACAAGCCACAAGTTTTTGCTTCTTTAAACAAGTTTATTTGACCCAACTATACCAGATCTGCTTGATCACACGTGGAAGGGAGGTATGTGGGTTCTATTATTGCTTATTTGTAAGCACAAGGATCACTATACCTCCCACAGAAGGTAAGGCCTCCTGGCCAGGGAAATAGTCCCTTGGCCAGCACGTCCCTGAGAAACGACGTGTCATCCTCTGCAAAACCCTAAAGGCACAGCTTCACCTCACTAACGGCTTCAGACAGAACCTTGAGGGACGCAACCTCCTTCAGTCTACACAGCTGTCTGGGAATTGTTTTGAACCGGTTTGAATTGAGAGTTTAGCATACCAGAGCCTCAAGGCTGGGCACCCCACCCACTCACCCCGCTTCTGCCCCCTAGCAGCCAGAGGGAACTTGCAGCAGTCGCTCTGCCCCTCAACCAATCCTAACCAAACAGGCCACGCCCCTCCAAAGGTTTCCCCGCCCCTTCCTTCTTGTCACCCAATCCCGTCACTGGTCTGCGTCTGCCCCGCCCCGCAGCTGTACCCGCTTCTGCTCTAGGCCTGAACTGGATTTGTAGCGAAGCTGCTCCAATGGAGACCCTGCTTAAGCGGGAGCTGGGCTGCAGCTCAGTCAAAGCTACGGGTCACTCGGGCGGCGGGTGCATTAGCCAGGGCCAGAGTTATGACACGGACAAAGGACGAGTGTTTGTGAAAGTGAACTCCAAGGCAGAGGTAGGGCCACCGGCGCTGGGTCAGGGTCGGGCTCGTTGGCCCGAGGCTACAATGGGGCTCTGGTTTGGGTCCCGGGTGTGTGAGATCCTGAGCTGGCCCGGGTTGGGTAGCGCTAGAGACTCTTCAGCGACAGTCTCTGGCCGCCGTCCACGCGTGACCGCCACAGTCCGGCGATTTCACTCTCAGGCTTCCCTGCCTTTGCCTGCTGTGCCCGCTGCGGCAGCGATGGCTACGTAGGGACAGCGCGTGGTATTCAGAGATTGCGATGCCCACTTCTTTGAGAAACCCTTCACGTTTGGCTAGTTTTGAGAAACGTCAGAGTACACGTGTTTATCTGAAGCTTATTTTAACTCGCAGAGACTTAAAACTCAGATCCAAGATCTTAAAGGTTGAAAATAATGCACTCACCTCCACCATGTTCTGTTTGAGTGTGAACTTTTTCTGAAGCGCCCAATGGCAGGTAGGGTGAGCCCCAAGGCTTCAGTTGTGTTCCTGGTTGCTGCTGTCCCTTTGTCATTTTAAGCTGTTCACTCCAGGTCTTGGTTGGAAGAGAGGTGGATGGCTTCTGTAGAACTTGGCAAAGTCTTTAAACGAGACTGAAGGTATTTATCTTCTTGTCAAGCCCTGTATCTCACACTAACTCTCCAAGTTAGAATTGATTTCTGTCTCTAAGGCTGACCTCCAAACTCAATGCTTTTGTCTCTTGAGTGCTGGATTGCAGGTTTTAGTCGCTAGCCTAGCTTGCAGTTGTAGTCATTTTTCTTCCAATAAAGGAGTCTTGCCTCTCACGTGTGCGTTAAACTTTGAAATACCATTATTTTCTTAGGATTTGCCTCAACCCCTGTCTTCAGACATCAGTTGAACTCTGTCAACTGCCCTTGAAGTTACACTAGATTGCCCTCAGCACCAGACTTCATGGTCTGCATGTTCTACAGTTGGACTTCTCTGTTCTGGTTTTGTTGTTGTTGTTTTTGTATGGTATCCTTTGTTTACACAGCCCTCGTTCCACCTTGATTTGTTTTTTTCTTTGTGATGACAGGTTGAACCCAGGGTTCATATACTATATCACTGAGCTACGTTCTCAAACTAGTGGTAGTTTTTCTTAAGTGTTTTCTGTTGTTCGGAGTTGAGTTCAGATTCTTATCTCTCTTTTCCAAATTTTTTTTTTTTTTTGTTTAATTTCTTGAAACAGGATCTCACTATGTAGCCCTAGCTGGCTTGGAATTTGCTACATAGACCAGAATGGCCGTGAACTAACAGAGATGTGGCTGCTTCCTGTGAGTTTACATTCTCTCTCTCAGGAAGTGGGTTTTGTTTGTTTTGAGGCACAGTTTCCATCTATATGTAGCCTAGGCTAGACTGAAACTTAATATGGAATCCTCAGCCTCTCAAGGATCACACATATTGCCCAGCACAAATTGCTGAGTTCTTTTCTAAAGATTTATTTATTTATTTATTCATTCAGTTTTAAAGACGATATGCATATATCTATATGTGGTGTAGGATGTGTGTGGTGCCCATGGAGACCAGAGACATCAGAACCTCCTGATGTGGGAATCACAGGTGATTATGATCTACCTGATGTGGGGGCTAGGAATTGAACTCAGGACTTATACAAGAGCAGTACGGACTTTTAACCATTAAGCCGTCTCTCCAGCCCCACTGCTGGGTTATTTCCCATTCAAAGTCTATTTTCAATCTTTCAGTCTTCCTTTTCCATTTGGTCTTTTTCTTGCTTGCACTGGGATATATAGCATGAATTATGCAGGCATACTATCCATAAGATGAGCATCTGCTGATTGTGAATATAACTTTTGTGTTAGAAATACGACTCTTCCTTGCTCTACTTTCTATGAGGTAAGACTTTAAAGACTACCTGGCTGCTCTTTTATTTGCTTTCTTATGCCTTGCTAGAATCTACCTGGTTGATGGTTCTTATTAGACTCTTGTGATAAATTTTTATCTCATTTTTAGATTATTTCTAGATTTTTTTTCCCACAGTGGTCCAACTGAGGCTTAATTTTCCCAAAAGTCTGTTTATGAGTAGCTGCTTTCTCAGCTGGAATCTTCAGACCACATAAGGAGTAAACTACTTCTGTGAAGGAACCATGCTTCTTCATGACTGCACAGTTCCTTTTAAAACATTTCCTGCATTTTTTTTCTGTGACTTTTAATGTGGTCTCTGTCACCAGTACCTTGACAGAAGTCTAGCTTCTCCTTCATATTCTAAAGAGATTGCTGTGAAAGTTCTGTCAGGGACACAGTTCTTACCTTCCTTCTCAGAAACTTTGGCTCTCTTAGTGAGTAGTTATAACATTTGCAGCATGTTTAGAATGGGCTGTGTGTTAGCTGCTACCTCAGAAATGTAGTTTCTCTCATTTTATAGGTAAGCAAACCGAAGCGAAGACAGCTTTAGTAACTTGCCCGAGATCACAGAGGTAGTAACTACGAGCATAAGCAGAATTTCCTTGGCAGCTCTGTTCAGTAAGTAGGATGGGTGATTACATTTTGGTATGTTCACCCTGTGAAATAGTATACATGAGGAAGGTATAACAAATACACCAGACTGTAGAGCCCATGTGACTACGTGTAAAATGATCTTGCAGCACTCAGAAGGCTGAGGCAGGAGGACTGTGAGTTTGAGGCCAGCATGGACTACATAGCAAAACCCTGTCACATTAAAAACAACAATAAAACAAAACAACAAAAGCCAGGAGCACAGAAAGCATAACCAAGCAGGCAGAGTTGCTCTGTAATGGGGGAAGCCAGGGTGGAGACAACTGTCTCTGGGGGTGGGTAATGGCTGGACTCTTTTTGTTGGTATGTCTCAAGGCAGGGTTTCTCTGTGTAGCCCTGGCTAGCCTGGAATTCACTCTTGTAGATCAGGCTGGCCTCAAACTCAGAGAGTTGCCCACCTCTGCCTACCGAGTGCTTGGGATTAAAGGTGCATTGCCATCACCACTCAGTGGTATCCAGACTCAATCTCATGAAGGTGACACTTCAAGATTGATGGATTGGTGCACATGGGAGGCAGAGGCAGGAGGATCTTTATGTGTTTGAGGCCAGTGTGGTCTACATAGCAGTTTCAAGACAGCCAAGGTTATATAGAGACCCTGTCTCAAAAAACAAAAACCAACCAACCAAGCAAACAAACAAATGCAGTCTCACACTGCAAAGTACAAGCTTGCTTATGCCTGTGTGACGTCAGCACTTGTGGCCTCTCATGAGTACCCTGAAAGGCCTGTCCACTTCTGTTGAGTCCTCTGGCTAGCATAAACATGGTTTGAAATTATAAGGCCTGAAGTAATCATGTCTGCATGGCCTCTCTTTGTTGACCTTGGTCTCCTCCTCCATTGTTTTACTGACAGGCAAAAAGGATGTTTGACGGTGAGATGGCAAGCTTAACTGCCATTCTGAAGACAGACACAGTCAAAGTACCCAAGCCCATCAAGGTTCTCGATGCCCCAGGAGGAGGGAGCATGCTAGTGATGGAACATCTGGACATGCGGTACCTGAGCAGGTCTGTCTCGACACCATCACTTCTGGTTAAAAGCGAAGGCCTTATCTCTTCCTCTGTGTGGGTCTTTTTATTTTGGAATCTTGTATTAGGGTGGTGGGGGTGACAGGCAAGATTTGAGGTGTGGCGCAGAGTCCATGACTGCACAGATGATGACTCTGTATATGATGAATGGCATGCACTCTCTGTTAGATAAAAGCCAGAGAGAGGATGCTCTCAGAGTGGGATGATCACAAAAAGACTCAGCTGCAAAGTCTAAAAGACTAGGAAACGTGGTCAAACAAACAGAATTGTATTCTCCTGCTTCCTCCTCCCTAGGATTCTTGTTGTGTGCCACCATACCCAGTTTTCCCTCTTATTTCAGTAGAATGAACTTTACGCTCCATGTTTGACTTGCCTTACATGTCTTGAGACCTTTCAGATGGATCTGCTATCTGTGTGTCATCTGTTCAGTTCCTGTGTTTTGATTTTAGTCATGCTGCCAAGCTTGGGACCCAGCTTGCAGATCTACACCTTGAGAACAGGAAGCTTGGAGAGAGGCTCCTGAAGGAGGCTGGCACTGTGGGTAAGGGGCTGTGTGAGTCCTAAGGGACCCTGTCTGGAAGAGGGCTCAGGGATGGGGTAATGCTGTAGCCTGTGCTGATGCCAAAGCAAAGGGTGACCATCCCAAGGCTTCACATTTGCAGTGCAGTGAACACCATGGGTATGATGGGTACAGTGCATCCTAGACATACTGAAAAAAGAAGAAATATTGATGTACCCGAACCACGTGATATTATGGTTGTTTTATGTCTTACTCTCCAGAAGGGAGTCTAATCAAAGTTGTTTTGGCTTTCAATACAAAGTGACTCCTTTAAACACGCTGTCTTCTCTTCTATGTACACAGCATTCTAGAGGCTCAGAACGACAGCCATAATGCCACCCATCTAGAACACAGTGTGGTGCTAGCAGCTGACAGTTGATAATCCATATGTACCTCATGTGCTGACTCTGTAAGACAGAATAGCTGATAGTCAGAAAGCAGGTAATCCAGAATCTCCTGTGTATAGTTCTGCTGAAGGGTCCCGGTAGCCTGTCCATCCTGTGATAATATACTGGTAGTACCATCAGGCTTTCTTGTCCTGTGAGGATTAGCTAATAGGCTCTGTCAAACTGGCTTTAAGACCGATTGCTTCCAGGTTGCATGGAATTCCTGTGATTGGGATTTTCTTAATTTGGGGCAGATACATGAAGTTGAGGCCATTTCAAAGCATAAGAATTTTATCTGTCAAAACTGGAAGAACATTGCCACCGAAAGGCATCCTTTCCTGATATAGGGTTGATATTTTTCCTCTCTAGAGAAATTAATGTTCTTAACTTATTTTGACATTGTTATGAATCCTCCATCCCCATGCATCCTCTGGTACTTGGTTCTGCTTCTAGAATAGCTAGTGCCTTGATTATTGTGTCTGCTAAAGCAGACACTGTTCTGGGTGACCTGGGGGCCTTGCTTATTTATGAATGCAAGCATTAGGAGGGTAAGGGGATATTGATTGCAAAACAACCATTCTGAGCTGCAAGAGTGGACCCGAGGGTCTCCTAGAACAAGGGGACAAACTGTCACTTTCCTTTGTTTCCTTTTTCATGAAAGGGAAAGGAGGTGGACAGGCCGAGCAGCAGTATGTGGACCAGTTTGGGTTTGATGTAGTGACGTGCTGTGGATACCTCCCCCAGGTGAGTGGCACAGAGCTCACCTCCATTTCACAGTCAAACTGGCTGTTGAGACACAGTGGGGAAATTACCGTATTCCCTTTCTGTGAGATTTTGTAACTCTTTGCACCCTTTTTTTTCCCTGATAATTTTTAAGAAGTTGACATGAAGTAAATAAACTTAATATTAGATTAAGATGGAAAATCGGACAGAAGAAACAGCAAGTTAGGATGCTGGACTTCAAGGAGAGGTTAAAAATTAGAAAATTTGTAGCTTTTATTTTACTTTGCTTATTTTTATTATTTATTTTATTTACGTATTTATTTTTAAAACAAGGTCTCATTATGTAACCTTAGCAGGCCTGGAACTCAGTATGTAGGCCAGATGGCTTCAAACTCAGAGATCTGCCTGTTCTGCCTCCCAATTCCTGGTATTAAACATGTGTGCCACCATGCCCAACTTCTTTTTAAAGATATATATATACATACATACATAAACACACACACAAGCACACACATGTGTATATGTAGATGCTTGCTGAGGCCAGATGAAGGAATTAGATCCTCTGGAGCTGGAGTCCCAGGTGGCTGTGAGTAGCCAGCCATGGGTGCTGGGTCCTCTACAAGAGCAGCAAGCCCTGTTAACTGCTGAGTTATCTCATCATATAGATATTATAAGTAATGTGAAGATGATTTAAGTCTATGGCAGCACCGTGTGGGTTCTATGCAAAGTATATTGTTTATTTAAGAACTTGACCATCTGAGGACTTTCCTATGAGTGGAGGTGTTGGGCCCACTCCCCTGTGGATACTGAACTATTAAACTCTCAAAGAGAGCACAATGACAGGGTATTATACCTTTCATGTCCGTGGTTTTAAGTCTGTTTCCCTGCGAGTTTCTGCCTAGAGCATATTGCCTGATGCCCAGCAGATATGAAGTACGTAGGATGACAGTTGTGATGGCTAGTTTTAATTGTCAACTTGATACAATCTAGGATCACCTGGGAAGCTGGTGTGGTGGCGCATGCCTTGAGTCCCAGCACTCAGGAGGCAAAGGCAGGCGGATCTTTGTGAGTTTGAGGCCAACCTGGTCTACATAGTAAGTTCCAGAACAGCCAGGGCTACACAGAGAAACCCTGTCTTAAAAAACAAAAACAAACAAACAAAAAAATACCTGCCTGAAATCACCTGGTTAGAAAGTCATAGTGAGGAATTACCTGAATTGGGTTGGCCTGCGTTCCTGAAATGATGGAATATAACCTGGAACCATAAGATTAAAAAAAAAAAAACAACAAAAACCCTGGGCTGGTTTTATCACGGTAACAAATAGGAAAGCTCTTTGCCAAGATGAGTGAATGCAGAATCTAGAAACTTGTAGATGTTTTATGGTAGGCACAGGGGCCATAGATTTAGACATGTGTAGGAAGTTATATATAAACGTGCCTCCTATGGGGTTTTCAGGTCCTATGTGTTTAGGGTGTGTGTCAGCTGGTATTGGCCCTTCCTCTCTTGCCTGTAACTCATGATGCATGTGCATTCACATGCAGATATATGCACATGCACATGAGTGCTTATGTGTAGTGTTTCGTCCTCCTGTGTCATGTCCTACTCTGAGCTGAATTACTCTCACGTATCTACCTTCCTTCCTTCCTGAGTGGGAAGCACCCATGGCCCTGGATGTCTTTCCTTGGGAGTTCTTTTGAAAGAGGCTCCATATGACTTCTCTCCTCAGTCCTAGGACAAGGTAAAATGTGGCCAGGTGGTTGCTGGAAGATGATTGGAAAGAAGCCATGAGATCCAGAGGGTCGGCCAGCTCTGGCCTTTATTCCACAGTTACTCTAATTAAATTGCTTTAGTTGGTCTTCAGGCTTGGAAGGCTGCAAGTGGTCATGTGGCATACCCTGCTTACCATTCCTCCTGGGACAGGACCTGGCCTCATGTTGCCTGGTCACCCCTCACCTCTTAAACCTCCTGTAGCTGCTACCCCTCTTCATGCTTCTGGTAGCCTGTTCTACTTTGGGGTTTCTGGGCACTTAAGCCTCCTTCAGTTCTGATGTTTTTCTGATAAAGTTTGCTTTCTCCTTTACTGTAACCTGTGCAGGTAAATGACTGGCAAAAGGATTGGGTCACATTCTATGCAAGGCAGCGCATTCAGCCCCAGATGGACATGGTGGAGAAGAAGTCTGGGGACCGGGAAGCTCTTGAGCTCTGGTCTGCTCTGCAGGTGAGCAGGGCCTCTGCTACATGCCCAGTGCCCACAGCATGTCCCTCTGAGCCCTGATAGAGGGGAGGCAGCAAGGCCGGGATGGATAGGCTTCCTTTCTGATAGGAAGCATAGTGCTTGTCAGTGTCCCCATCTTCTCTCTCCAAGTCAGGCACATTTGAATACCTGCTCAGATAAGTGCATTGGCACTTAGGAAAGCACCTACACCTCCGTATGGTTGGCCACTTTGTTTAAGGCTCCATCTTCTTCCCTGCAGTTGAAGATTCCTGACCTGTTCCGTGACCTGGAAATTGTGCCCTCCTTACTTCATGGAGACCTCTGGGGAGGGAATGTAGCAGAAGATTCCTCTGGGCCCATCATTTTTGATCCAGCATCCTTCTATGGCCACTCAGAATATGAGCTGGCAATCGCCGGCATGTTCGGAGGCTTCAGTAACTCCTTTTACTCCGCGTACCATAGCAAAATCCCTAAAACCCCAGGATTTGAGAAGCGCTTGCAGTTGTATCAGCTCTTTCACTATCTGAACCACTGGAATCATTTTGGATCTGGGTACAGAGGATCCTCTCTAAACATAATGAGGAATCTCAGCAAATGAACTGGCTTCCCACCAGAGGGAAGAGTCTCTTACGGGTGTGCTGGGTCTCCTAATAAGATGACTCTACATCTAGATCAAGTCCTACCATCCATCCTAAGCATCTCACTGTGAACTGAGGGAAGTGCCTCGGCGTCAGGTGACCTGATCCCAACTATTTGGCCAAGGAGCTCATGAGTCTCCACAGTCCCCTTCCTCATGAATTCCCCCTATTTATTCCATGGCAGCACTTGCTTAAGATCCCCTGTTTCTTTCTTTCTTTTCTTCCTCCCTTCTTTTTCCTATTTTCTCACATATTACGTCCTGACTGCAGTTTCTCCTCCTCAGAATCTCCTCTGCCACACCCCCCAGGGATCAACCAAGCAGAGTATAACAAGCTACAGTAAGACCAGGCACATAACATCACATCAAGGCTGGATGAGGCAACCCAGAAGGAGGGAACGGGTCACACAGTAGGCAAAAGAGTCGGGGACACCTTCCCTTCCCATTGTTAGGATTCCCACACAAACTCCAAGCTTCTCAGCCATAACATACATGCAGAGGACCTAGGTCAGAGCCCTACAGGCTCCTGATCACCTCAAGCCCCCGAGTACCAGTCAGTTGATTCTATGGGCTGTAAACTGTGAAATATGGGTTCCCTCAGAGGAAAGGTTATGTAATTCTGTTGTTGTGTACTTTGTAAGACTGCCTGGCTAGATTAGGCCTCACTGGTGATATGAACAGACGCACTGAAGTTTAGGTATAGTGAGCCATACTCCATTGCCAAGGTAGAAAACAGTGAGTGACTGTTGGTGTGGTGAAGGGAGTTCACCCTGCAGGGAAGTGGCTGATGTGTCCACCTCCCATCTCTTCCTCACACATTGTCAACATTTCTGAGCTATTCATGGTGATGCTTTGTGATGGTTGGACTTGATCTAGACACGGAGTCATCTTATGAGAAGACTTAAATAATGACCAACTCTAAAATCAATGACGTTCCATTTGCTTATGTAGCACTTCTGGACCCTGCTATAAGCTGAGTAGTCTGGAGATTGGTTTGGGGACTGACCAACCTTATGGGTAACTAACTTGGTCTCAATTTAGGAGCCTGAAAATACTCCTGTTGTACCAACTTTGTGCTCTCTTATCTTTGTTTCTTTCTTGCCTTCTTTCATTCCTTTTTTTTTCTTTTGGTTTGTTTGTTTTACAAGACAGGGTTTCTCTATGTAAACCTGGCTGTCCTGGAACTTGCTTTGTGACCAGGCTGGTCTCGAACTTGGAGATCCACTTGCCTCTGTCTCCCAAACGCTGGGATTAAAGGTGTGCACCACCACCATCTGGCTTTGTTCTAATTTCTAAAGTTGTCATTCCTTTGCAACATATGAGCATTAGATTAATATTTTTTTCTATTTCAACATTGTAGAAATGGGAAATTTCATGAATGGCATTGATATTAGTAAATCTTTTTGCCTAAAAACTTAAATAAAATTGTAGTTGTTTCAGTGATCCTTAAAACTAGTATATTTCCGCATTTATGTACTCAACATTTATCTTAGCTGTTTGCCAGAAAACATCGTGTCTTACTTAGGGTTTCATTGCTGTGAAGAGACATCACGACCACAGCAACTCTTGTAAAGGAGAACATTTGATTGGGGCTAGTTTACAGCCTCAGAGGTTCAGTCCATTATCATTATGGCGGGAAGATGGCAGCATGCAGGCAGACATGCAGACATGGTGCTGGAGGAGCCATGAGTTCTACATCTTGACCCAAAGGCAGCAGAAGGGGGCTGTCCCACTGGGTGTTGCTTAAGCATATATAAGACCTCAAAGTCCACCTCCACAGTGACACACTCCAACAAGGTCACACCTAATAATGCCACTTCCTATGGGCCCATGGGGGCCAATTACATTCAAACTTACATTGCAATGCTATATAGTTATAATAAATAGGTAGAACTATTCTTTTTTTTGAAAGGAGATTGTATTAGTTATTTTTCTATTGGTGTGATAAAACATCATGGCCAAGGAAACTTATAGAAGGAAGACTTGATTTAGGTTTGCAATTACAGAGAGTCAGGGTCTCATGTGGAGGGAACCACATGGTAGCAGGTGACAGACTTGGCTCAAGCTGGAAGCCGAGAGCTCACATCTCAAACTGTAAGCCCAAGGCACAGAGAGTGAGCCTGGGATGGCCCGTAGCTTTCCTACCTCAGAGCCCACCCCCAGAACTTACTTCCTTTAGCAGGGCCATACCTCCTAAACCTACCCAAAGAGCACTACCAACTGGTGACCGAATATTCAAACATCTGAGCTAAGGGAGACATTTTCATTCAAGCCACCATGGGATCTCATGTAGCCTATGCTGGCCTTGAATTCCTGGTCTGCCTCAGCCCTCTCTTTACCTCCTTTCTAGTTTGATGTCTGTTTTTGTTTACAATGTTGTCATTCACACTCACACAATTGACCCTAATACTATTTTAAGAGACTTAGTATCCCAACCATCTTGCCTCTGAATTGTCAATGCCTCTTTATAGCCTCCCCTACCCACTCATTGCCTGTCTCACAGGTTCTTTCTGTGAGTCTCTCATTGTAATCATAATGTGCTGTGTCCCTCGTGAAGGAAAGTCTAAGGGGCTGTGAGATGACCCAACACTCTGTCCAGAAACTGATGACACATTCCCCTGAAATACATCCCTGGGACTTTTTTTAGACACCAGTTACACAGAATAGCTTAGAACCCTCCAGAGAGAAGGCAGATCCTACAAAGAACCCACACACCTCAAACTTCCCAACACTTAAAGAAGCTGGCAAGCAATGGAGCCTTCTTAGTCTGAAAGAGAATGGTCTGACCAACCTGAGACTCATAGTCAGTTTGCCAGGCAATTACAAAGAAGTTTCTGAATAGACTGCCAATGCTTCATGTTAAGGTGCAGTGGTAGGAGGGGCTCCACATGGAGATACCAGTCACATTTCCTATAAATGGTTGTTCTGCCTGTTTTTTGTAGTGACGTTTCCATGCTGTCAAGTCCCTTTACTTAGCATGGCCTTGAAGAACGATAGCCAGTAGTGAGGCAAGCAGAGAAGGCCTGAGGGGTTTGATTTTGACATGAGCCTGCAAGATCAACTCCAAAGCCTCAGATCCATGAGAATTTGGTGACACAGAGAGATAACAAACCTCTGGTCTGAGTGTGAACGTCAATGGTGCATGCAGAAAATGTCCACTGTAGCCCTTCCCTCCCAGATATTACTTCCTGAATACTGCTCCCCACAGAGACTGCTCCTACTGAGATCAGTTAAGCCCGCCACCTTGATTTAGATGCATACCACAACCCTGCCCACTCGTTCAGTTGTAAATAATAAACACATTGATATTCTGGGATCTTGAAGCTTCTCCATCAGAGAGCCCAGTACACCCTTCCCAGTTTTTCTGTGTGTCCATGGTTTTTCTTCTTTCCCTCACTACCCTAATTAGGTCAGTCTCTGGAGCCATGTTAAGACCCAGCACAGAGGGAAGACATGAAAATGGTGTTTGGCTTTAGAACCAGGTTAGAAAAGGCCCTTGGGGTGGATCCCTGGCTCTGGAGCCAGGGATGGCCTCCATGATTGGGAATGATCAAGCCACCTTAGGAGAGCACATCAGTGTTCCTTGCTTGACAGTGTCTGCTAAGCCCAGGTTCCAATCATCCCACATAGGTGCCAGCCATATACAGGAGTTACGCAAGAGCCTTCAGAGAACCCAGTCTCAGTTAGAGCCAGGGACAGGTCACAAGGACCATGAGGATGACCAGCACTGACAGGTTTTGCCCCTCTGAGGTATGATGGAGCTCCTCAAATAGGCATGTTCACGGCAACCCCATGCATACGTTATCTCTTCAGGTGCTTTGGGAGTCATCTTAATGTGAGGTTGGCGGATACAGGAACAGTTGTAGAGCTGTCAGCTGGAAGGCCACAAGAAAAACATTGAGCAGCCAGGTTTTCTATGACATGCTGGGAAGAGTCTTGTCCCACTAGGACCTGAGACTATTCACAGGATGGAGCCCCAAACCAGACTTGTTTGCATATATTATGAGCTATGTCTCAGCACTGGGTCTGGTGTAAGTTAACTCCTCTATACTTTAGTTTTGTCATAGAGAAGGCAGGAACTAATTACAGAATCCTTTCATAGGATATTTGTGAATTTAGCTGACATTCACTTGTGCCCTAGCACATACTGAAAGCTCAGCAATGGACCATCCACCCTACTAATCTCCCTAGTCCCTTTATAGTCAGCTGGACACATTACAGTACAGGAGAGGGACCAGCAGCTCATGGTAGGGGCTGGGATTTGAGGCAACCTCTCCTAAAACACTTGAGGGTTAGCACAGACTGTCTCCTATGTCAGTCTGTGGATGTGTTCTTATATGTGTGTGTGTGTGCCCATGTACCCATGAGCATATATGTCTGCTGCTTTCCTATCATGGCTGTCCAAGATCCAGAGTCCCACCTAGCCTGGGTGGAGTAGGCTGTTGCTATCACAACTCCCAGAGTAGCCTCTATCACCCAGCCCTGTGGTATTAAAAGGTGCCGCTAGGATCTAACCAGGGCACCCCCCTGGCTAGGACTCCACCCTTATCTGGACATCGAGAGCTTCTCCATGGGATATCTGAGTCTCTAGGCTATGCCTTGTGTTGCAGGGATAAAGAAGCCCTGACCCAAATCTTCCTGTCCTCACTTCTGACTCTCCCAGTTGAGCAGAGAGCACAGGGCCTAGGGTGGACCCCAGGTGGTGCAGATGTGCTGGGACTTCACATGCTTGCTGTGAGGGCACTCCCTTTCCGTCTCATGGCTTTAAAGAACACTCAGGACCAGGTCTGGGATCCCGTTTTTTCTAGGGTGAGTTGGAATAGAAATTCTGGAGTGAGCCTCGTAGGAGGGTGTCTAGAGCTTTTGCATTCCTCCTTCTCCCACAGCAGCCCCGGGTGGAGATTGACTTGGAGAGAGAAATAAATGTCTAGCCCAATTCCTCTCTCTCTCTCTCTCTCCCTCCTCCCACACCAGCCCTGGTGCCCCAGAAGCATGCAGGGATAGCGCGCACCCCAGCTAGCTAGGAGCCAGTAGGCCGTTCAGACAGTGTTTTGACAGCGCTATGCCCCGCCCCCCGACCCGCCCGCCGCTTGTTTCCTTCTGGTCCCCGAACCCCCCTCCTCTGCGTCATCTTGCCGGCATTCTGGTTCTCAACTCTCCATGGAGCAGCTACTGCGCGCCGAGCTTCACACCAGGACACTGCGGGCCTTTGGGAGTTCCAGAGGGGGCTGCATCAGCGAGGGCTATGCCTACTACACTGACAGTGGCCCCGTGTTTGTGAAGGTCAACCGCAGGACGCAGGTGCGCTGCCGGGTGTACAAGGATAAAATCTGGGAAGGGGAAAGAGGAATGCACGATTCTGGGAAGTGGTGGGGGAACTAGACCTGGTGTCCTTACCCTCTGCTGAGGGATCAGCCAGAATTTGCAGGCAGGCTTGCTTCCTCTTGGGACCAGAGGATTTATCTTTGCTGCATGATTACTTTCTTGCTTTTGCTCCCACACAGGAGCTTTAAATTTTCTGTAATCACTGGCCGTGGGGGAGCTGAGTCTCAGCTGTAAGCTGCTTCTGCCCATGTCTGGCCTATGCTCTGACCTCAGCTTCTGCATTCTCCCAACAGGTGAAGAGACAGGATTCCCAGGGCTAGGCTAGGACCAGCCTTCTCACGGGCTCTGTTGGTTTCTAGGACGTTTAAGATATTCCCGATTAAGAATGTATAGAGCCAGGCATACATCTATACCCTCTCACCCTAGTACTTAGGAGGCTGAGGCAGGAGGATGGTGAGTTCTATGTCAGCCTGGGTTATATGAGGAGAAGCTGTCTCAAAAACAAAAACAAACTAACAACAACAAAAGAATGCATGGAAAACGGTAAGACAACTGAAGTCTGTTAGCTAGAGTCCCTGAGGGCAAGCTGTGACGGTGCTCCCCCTTCTGTGGGGGGAGGACTCCAGAGGTTCTATGCTCTGTGGGGAGTAGTTCTGGATAGTGGAGGTAGTATCTAGGACTGCTGTGGGGAAGAAGAGAATCCTAGGGTAGCCCTTCTCAGTCCCTCCTGGCATCATTAGAGATGGTGAAGGGTAGCATCACCCTGCTTTCTGTGCACTGTTGACCTGGTTTGGAGGTTTACCCTACAAGCATGGCTGAAGTTTGCAAATGCTCTCCCAGAACAG